GATAATATATGAATGAATAATTCAAGTTAATACACAAATAAAACAAGTATGAACAAGTTACAAATAGAATATAAAGAGTTGATTTAAAAACTAATTATAGAATAGTCATAATGTCCAACTGCTGTTTTTTTTTTTGCTTTAGTAAATTACAGTCTAAAAATGACTCTGATCCTCTTAATCAGATAAGTTTTGGTCATGTGTATCACATTATTGATTTTTCATGGAACTCATGAATTCAATTCAAAGCATCTACATCCTTTATTATTAATGGTCACAAATTATCACATTTTTCAAAATAACTTTAGCCTTTAACAGTTCTCAATACTTATTGATCGGTAGAAGTATATGTCAAAATACTGTAAATAGATTCATATATTCAATAGTTTGTCTAAGCTTTAAGATATATTGTAGTTTTTTTAGCTTGCAAAATAGTGACCAGTTTAGAAGAATAAAATATAGGCTTGTAACGAAGTTTATAAAAGAAAAATTCCAAAATATTATTATTTAGAAAACATTTCAATATTATGATATAATCTCTTTAGTACTATAACTTGATCCTAGTGTTCGGATCTAATTAACCAGAAGATCATGTGGACCCAAACTGGAATGCACCCATCTTAAGGGACAAAGCCCTATGCAGCATACAAATATAGAATCTCTAATCATAACAATGATTATCCAATCAGATACAAAAGAGACATCACTCAACTCTTTTGTAAACTATACACTTCATATTTCATACTCCATTCCTGGTATACATATACATAATTCAAATTTTTTTTTTAAAAAAAAACTAACTGGCCATCAAGCTCTTGTTCCAATTGTTCCTTTGTTTTACAAGAAATGTTATCAAAGAAATATCTGAACTTATAATAAATCTCAGTAAGGGGTATCAAAACATCCTCTAATTTTGAACCAAGTTCAATGCCCTCTGTACAATTTTCTTTAAGACCATAGTTGGTTGCTACTCTTTTAATGGCACTGGTGTAATACTACAACTTGAACAAATGTTATCTTCGGTGATTAAGGTAAAGTTAATGGAACATGATTTCTTTGTAATTTGACTGGTGGCTTTTTCTTTGGTGTGTTTAGTGTAACCATAATAGTGGAAGTTAGGAGTAATTTTCTTAAAAACCTCTTTGATAAAATCATCTTTGTTGAACTTAATATTTAACAACAATTCAACATCAAAATCTGACTGTAGAACAGGAATTCTATCATGAACATAGTTTTGGTAATAGTTTCTTCTACTACTACAGCTTTTGTGATTTTGTTATACAAGACAGCCTTTTACTTCAGGAACTCGGTTATAGTTTAGTACAAAACAATTGTTGCTTCTAACTATTATCAAATATAAATTAAAATAACATGAATTAATTACATAAATAGCTCTTTAATACAGTATATAAATAATTGCTATAAGAATATTATGCAAAATAAGAAACTAAAAATTATTATAAAAAACATTTTAAACCATATATTATAGTTATAGATTTAGTGAAAAGGCCTTTTTTCAAAATAACTATTATTGTCTAATCCTTGGTCATGTTTAACATCATAGTTAAAAAGAACTAACCTTGCTCAAAAGCTATAGTTGAATTTACAGAATTGATATAGTAAATCAAGCCTATATAACATATATCAAATCTTAATATAAAACTGATCTTAGATCTGATGTACCTAAAACTGCTCATCTTTGTTTTATAAAAAAAATGTTAAGTTAAAATTAGTACTCTATATTTTGTTAACAGATCTTTTAGGTTAATGCTAGAAAAGATGCTAATTTACCCAAATTGGCAATATTTGCTAGTAGCATACAGCATGGACTAAAATACCCAGGGTACTTTACTATTTAAGCTGTATATGTGAGTATTATAATCAGAAGGATACTATGATCAGTGTAGAGAAGGGTATAAGTTGCACTATATAAGTTCTGCAGTAATATTTAATATTTCTAAATGCAATTAATCTGTTTTTAGTCTCAGGATACTTTAAATTCTAGGCCTCCAAAAATTATAAGAAGTATTATAAAAGGAGGTTTTTTTTAGTCTTTACTGTATGACAAGTTTTGATTTTATATATAGTTTCACAATTTCCATAAATATCTACTATCAGAACTACCAGAAGTACAGTTATCTTTTTCATAGCAGTATTCAGAGTCATAATGATGGCAATAAAAAAAAATAATGTAAAGTGAGAAATTGGGTTCACATGAATTTAACTTTTTTTTTTGATTAATAAGACTTATCAATACAAACTTAGGCAAATCCAAATTATATAGTATAATAGTGAATATATCAATTAAAAATCTTCATACTTACCTCTATAAATTAACCAAAATGAAACTAATAATAAGGATTGAAACTGTTTAACCACTTAAAATTGGTTTATAGTTCCAGACAAAGCCATGTTGTTCATAGGTCAAAATTATTTTAATGCTGGCTAATTAAGGTTAAAAGACTAAATGATTATAAAATTTTAGTCAGTCCCAATCTTTAATTGATAAAAGACACAGGATATAACTAAATACTTATTTTAAATAATTACTTCTGCACTTAAGAAAGTATAGATAATATATCAATTAGTAAAAATTTATCATCACTAAATTAATATAATAATAAAATTATTATACAATCAAACCTCTCTATAGTTATCTTTATAGTCACATTTGCTTATAATCATATAAATTCTTAAAACCAACTTTATATAATACCTATAAAATTTAACCTTTATATAGACACAAACTTTCTATAAGCACCAAATTCTTAAAACCAAAAATATGATTATAGAGAGGATTGACTGTATTGTGTTATTTAAAACTATAAAGCCAAGTAATATTTCTTAAGCATTGTAAATTTATATTACTTACAAATATATAATGTAGAATTTCAGATGTTCATCTATCTTGTAACATATAGTCTGAAATTTATATAATCTGTTGTTAAAATAATAAACCAATGCCTAGTTGTAAAAAAAAAAAAGGTTAAAAGGATTTGGCAGATCCAGATAGTGGTTCAGTAGCTAAGGCTGTTCAAAATTTATTCTTCAGTTAACAATACTTTTAAAACTCTTGAAAGAGAGAAAGAAGAGAAAAATAAAATGAACATATAAAAATAAACCAATTTTATTAGTTAATATAAATCAAGTAATTGATGAAGGTTATTTAGCATTTTGATTGGTTGTTTATTTTTTGGAGGAAGACTTCAGTTAGGGGTGATGTTTAACTAAAGAATTAACTTCGAACAGCCTAATTCCCAGTCCTAAAAGTTTGAATATTAATGAGACAATATATAGTAATTTTTAGTTTGTATTTGCATAATAATGCTTCAAATAGCTTAAAGCCAGAATTAGTTCCACCTTTTTCAATATATTGTTTGTAATAATGATACATGTTGATATTGTTACTTCTGTATTCTGTTTGTTAAATTACTTCTATGATATTTAAGAAAAAATATAAAAAATAATCTTGTTTAATTGTTACAGGTACATTAAATATAAAGTTGGTAGTACTCTCTATTTATTAAACTATTTAAAAAATTTAAGAAAACATTTAGAATTAAATTATATAAAAACAATAAAGTTTAATAAAAATGGTACTTAGGATAAATTTTTTTCAATATAAAATTGTGACATCTGTGTGTTGAATTATTAAGAAATTAAGTGCAGTGAATTTAAACTGGTACCTTTTTTCTGTTAAACTATTAAGTAAAGAATATATATTTTTAATATAAATATTCCTTTAAATGCATCAAAAAATTAAAATATTTAAAATATAAAGTTTTATTTTTCCAGACCATTAAGTGTATTTTTTATCTGTAACTATTAAAATTTTAAGAATTAAAATCATATTAAAGAATAATAAAATACATTGCACAAAATAAACAGAAGACAAGCTGTATATTGTTATAACTACCTCTCGAATTTGAATTGATAAAATTACTTCATATTTGTGTGAAATCCTAATGAACTTCAAACAAAAGCACATAACTAATTTTTAAGTATATTACTTCATCTGCTATAAATATGACTAATATCTTGAGACTCTAATAATTCGATTACTTCAATTGATTTTAAATATTAATTTGTTCTAAAATTTTTTCATTTTTTTTCTTTATATTCATTCTTTTAATAGTTTTTTTTTTTTTTTTTTTTTTAATATTAATTTATCTTTAGTATTACTTTTATATTAATTTTTTATTTATTTAATTATCTATTTTCAATTTGGTTTTTTCAATATGTAAACTTAAGCACCTCAAACTATAATAAATTATATATATATAAATCACCAACAAACTAGTATCAAAATTTCTGTAATGCATTTGCATACAACTGCATGGTTATCTCTAAAAATCTAAATTTTAAAAAGAAATTTTTGTGCAAAGAATGTAATAGCTCATGGAAAGAAATAAAAAGCAAACCAGCATATCAAATAGAAAATGTTATTGAAATCTACTTACTTGTACAATACCTATTGTCCAAAACTTCAATATATCTTCAACTATTCAAAACCTTAGTACTACCCCTATCACTCAAACACAGATAATTGTGGAAATTTTTGTTCTAAATTCACCTCCAATAAATGCATCAGTGCAGAAACAAGCCATAGAAATTATTAATAACACAAATAAGAAGCTCACTGAATGTCAAAAGGCCTATAATGCAACAAATAATTCAGAAGCCTAAACAACTTAACAAATCAGATGCAACAACTAAAACAAATCCTTTATACTAAGGAAAAAAGGTTAAAATTTCTATAAAAACAGAAAGAATATAAAAATAACAGTGTAGAAAAAATGTTTTTATTTTTTTAATTTTTTAATTTGATTTTTTTATTTATTCCCTAATCATATCTAGGGTATTTCATCTAATCTTCAAATTTTACTTCTAATAGTACTAGTGAGAAATTTAAAGGTTAGAGTAAAGTATCTTGAGTACAATTAGAATTTTTATTTTTAATTTGTTTTTTTCTACTTAATTTGAATTCAAATACTTACTATTCAATGCTTTATATTAGAAACAAACTTCTACAAGAACAACAACTTGTTGTTAAATATAATAAGCCTGGCTGTCCTTCTTTTTTGCAAACACATTCAAACTTGCTCGATTATATTCATGATAGCATTGAATTTGGGGCTACAGAAAATAAAAGAAAAAGAAAGATAGTAAAAGTCAGGACCATCAACTACCTTGTAGATGATGTCAGAAATATATATAGTGAATATGTTGCCAGATTCACTATAAACAATTATCTACAATCTTCTTGTTCAAACTTAATAGTAGCCAAAACCTATCATTATCCTGCCAACATCATGGTCTCATCCGTGTCTAGAACTGACAACAATAACTATTCAGATGAGCATTATTGTCTTGTCTCTATAAAGGTGGCAAGACAATATGCATCTTTATTTTCAAAGTTTTGGTCATAATTTCACAGGATGATAAGGCCAAGGTTCCTTTTGGCATTACAGCAGTTAGAAGAACCTTTAGAGTTTTACAAACAATTAGAGAGCCAGTGATGGTCTCTAATTATAATTTTCTTGTAGATGTGCAGCAAAAGCTGATACTGTCAGTTTATTTAATAATAAGTCCTAATGACACGAATGTTATGCTTCACAATAGCCAACTTTCAATTTTTATTCATTCACAATATGGAGTTGACACAAGTTCTGCAACTTATATGCAAGATTTAGATTCATTAGTAAAAAAACAGCCATCTGGATGGTATGTTAAAAATAGAAAATAAGATTAAACCTATCTGGGTCCTTCTTGTTGATAAAGGCCCAAATGAGAATCTTCGTCATATGAAAAACATTGTCAAATACACAACAATGTTTTGAGCATTTGACCTGAACTACCTAACCATTCAGACGCATGCTCCAGGTTAGTTGGTAGATTTATTAATTTGTTCAAATTATATTCTAAATAGTATTTCGCTGAAATAATAATAATAAAAGCTTCTTAAACCAGACTAATTTAATTGTCTATTTGATATAAACATCTATTTTTCAAGATCTATATGCATTAAATTAATTAATAAAATTGTGGCATTAAATATTGTTTTTAATACCTCATTCTTCTTCTTACAAGTCATTTCATGTTATGTTAAACAGAGAATTAAGTTAGTCTAATCTTAGTTATTAAAAAAAATTAATTATCAAATAAATAATATCAAGAAAAACTTAGACTTCAGACTTTCAATCATATTTTGTACCAGACACAACTAGTCTATTGTGTCTGGTACAAAATATAATTGAAAACATGAAGTCTAGCTTTTTTTTGGCATCACTCAAATATTAACAACTAGTTAACTAGATATTATTGTTCTAGATTAATCCAAATATAATCATGTAGAACAGGGTATAGCATCCCTTTCTCAAAAGCTTGCAGGCATTATCCTATCAGTTAATACCTATAGTTCTCATTTAAACTTTTAGAGCCAAGTTATTAATGCAGAATTAGCTAAAAAAAAATTTAAACATGTTGGAGAATTATTATATGATCTCTGAAAACAAGATTTATTATTTGGAAAGCTGGTTATAGTAGAGTATATTGAAAGAAATAACTTTCAATTTTCTATCAAGTTTCCAAGATCTGAAGATAAAAATAACATGTCTTGGAAGTGGCTAGAAACTCATGCAAGAATATGTAACTATTCTTTAGATATAAAAAAAAGTGAAAATATTTTGTATTGTTTACTAAAGCGATGTGAAGGAGCTGCTAGTCTTCTTATGGAGAATGATGGATTTCTCTTTTCAGTAATGATAGGTAAAGATGAGCACTACGTTAATCTCATACATTTGTTAGAATTTTTCAATAAAAATAAGATACCAGGATATGATGCTTATTGACCCTTAATTGGCAAAGCCAATTACACTCAACTTTGTTGTTCTGAATATAATAAATATTTTCTAATAATATTAATGGTCACTACCTACCAAAAAAGCCAACATCCTAAGAAATGAGGATGACCTAAAAGTCTAGTATCAGAATTAATAAAAATTGCTTAAAACAGCATTAACAAAGGAGAAATTTATGTAAAGAAACATGGAAAACCAAGTAAAACAGGATCTCAGATCAAAAAGGCTGGCAGAAAATAGAAATATATAATAATATGTAAAATAATATGTAATAAATAAAATTTAAAATAAAAAAAGAGTAATTTAGAAAAAAAAATAACTTATAAAATTTTTTTTTTTTTTTAAATATTAACAGTAAGGCTATGCCTTTAACTTTATTGAAATTCAATTGAAGTTTTTACAAAG